CCTGGAAAGCCATTGGCAGATCATCCCCACCTACTATGGTATTAAAAACATATTTTTATGTCTGAGCTATATGATATTCTTGGTATCTTTAAAGGGAAAAGTTAACTGAAAGTTGCTTTTTGTGGCTTTGCAAGGAGAGATGGGGTCCTGGATTAAATACCAGGATGAAGCCGTAACAAAAAAACCCCAAACAAACCACTGCACACCTATTGTTTTCAAATTTTCATATTTTACTAAAACAAATTCAGAGCATTTTGTGTTTTAAGCAATGCTGGCTGCATTCATCAAAGTTAAAATCAAGAGACTTGCTGCTCTCTGGAAAACAGCAGGAGCTCTTCTCTTTCCTGCTGGAGTTCTTCCCATTTCTTCTGTAGTTCTTCCTTTTCCTTCTGCAGCTCCTCTCGCTGTCTAGTTAAGTCGTTGGCTTCCTCCTGCTGTGCTTTCCTCAGAGACTCGATTTGCTCCCTCTCTGCTGCTGCCTCTCTGGCACTAGCTGCACGCAGCTTCTCCAGCAGCTCCCTCTGATGCTCCAGAGTCCGAGCCTCCTCCTTCTGCGTTCTCCTCAGAGCTTCTATCAGCTCTCTCTCCCTCTTGAGCGTACGCTTTTCTCCTTCAGACATCTTCAATGCACCTGCAAGAGGAGAAGGACTCAGGTTTAGGCTCATTACAGCCTCCAGCACAGTGGAAACCTGGAAAACAGGACTGAAGTGTCTTTTTAAGGGCTGCTACTGATTTTTCTTAATCAGAGGGAGTTATAACAGGTATTTGGAACAGATAAACATTTAAAGTAAAGAAAAAAAGAACAAAAAATAAGTCCTCAAAATATCGATGTATATATCAAATTGTGCCATAATTTGGAGTAATGACTATGACACTTCAGTCTTGTAAAAAGGAAATTTCTCTAAGAGTAGGGAGTGCAGACAGAGTAGTGGCTGCATCAGCACGAGCCCATTCGGTCTGCCTGTTCTTTTCTTCCTTTCTCTTCGGTTCAGAGTGTGAGCAATGGCACATTACACACACACACACACACACACACACACACACACACGTATGTGTTATATACATGTATATATACACATACATATGTGTATAAATACATGTATTTATACACATATGTATGTGTATAAATACATATATATATATATATGTTGTGTGTGTGTGTGTGATAATACATGTGTATATTATAAATATGTATAATCTGTGTAATATTAATATGTATAAATAATGTGTATATATATATATCTGTATCATCATGTGTAATATATACAGTTATTGTTAAATACTGTAATTATTACATATGTATAATTACATTGTTATATACATATGTATAATCATTGATATATACTGTATAAATACATGTGTTATTACTTGTGATGTTAATATACATTGTATAATATATCCAATAATCAAAATGGTAAAATTTATGGTTGGGTATTATATATATAATACAAGTATTATAATATATACTGTGTATCTATCTATGTATATATAACATGGTGTATTTTAGTAAAAAAATCATGTATAATGAATGTTAATAGCATGTATATTATTTGTATAGATACAGTATATTTTGTATTTTAAATACATGTATATATATATGTATTTATACATGTATATATACATCCTCTTAATTGAGAAAATTACTTTGAACACATTTACATGGAGAAACAGGACCATGCGACCAAAAGCAGGGCTGACAGAGTGAAGCATTTAGAGGGAGAGACTGAGTGAAACAGCAGTGAGCTATAAAATCATACCTGGAGCCTGTCTCTGCTCTGACGTCTTGTTGTTGGCATGTGAGACCGGAGATGAGTTTAACGCCGGTAAACGCAGCCCATTGGACACCTGCTCTAACAGCAAGTTTGGGTGTCTCTTTGACATGTGTCGGTGCAGATTACTGGAGCTATTTTTCCCGCACTTCAGCTTCTTCGTGCAGATACGGCAACGAGCAGCGTTCAGGCTGTCCAAGCGCTCAAAGTGTCTCCAGATGGTACTGCGTAGTGGACGTCCTGCAGGAAGGTCGTCACTCCCCTCTGTGTGTGTTTGAGGTTCTGCTGGATTTCCGTGGGAAGCGTCTAAGATACCGTTGATAGCCACACTGTTATCGGTTTCATTCACCAGTGTTACTGTCTCAGAGTCTCTGTCCTTCGACAAGACTTCCACTGAAAAGAAAGAAAACATAGTTGTAATCACACCTCATGTCCTTAAATGGAACACCTGACTCCAGGTAGCCTTTAAAGAAGAAGTCACATTATAGCAGTTCACTTATTTTTCCAGATTTAGATGCACAGCTGTTTGTGTGTTATAATTTTGAGCCACTTAAGTTTGTGTGTATTGGTCATTCAGATAAAAAGGAGACCATATTATATGCATAATCAATGCCTAAATCCTTTCAAATGATTCTTTATTCTCCTTTTCATAGATACACATACATGAAAAGGTGTGACACTGGCAGCATCTGACCAATCACAAAGAGATATAAGACCACTGGGAGCATAGCGAGTGATCTTAGAAAGGAAAAATCAAACTAAACACTGGAAAACAATCCAGAACTTTAGCTACCTCCCTTGATACTGAAGAGGAAGATAAGCAAGGTGTTATCTCTTGTTTGTGTAGATGTGAAACTTTAATATGGCTGTCAAACAGCTTACCTTGAGCATCACTCTGCTCTGTCCCCCACAAGGCCTCATCGGACTCAGGGTTAGTGTTTGAGTCCTGTGAGGAGTTTAAGGGTGTTGGTGGGTACTGCTGGGTGGATAACAGCTCAGAGTACACCTTAGGATGTTTTGAGGACAAGTGTCGCCGCAGGTTGCTGACGCCACCACTTTCGACCAGCTTCTTCATGCAGATGCGACAACGAACGGCGTTCAGATTGTCCAAGCAATCAAAGTGTTTCCAGATCACGCTGCGATGTCGTGAACGTTTCACAGGGCGCTCATCACTTGTCTCTATTTGTGTTATTATTTCTGATGGACCCTCCTGTGGAAGGAGGTCATTCAAAGAAGAGCTGATTCCAGTTGTGTGTACTGCGGTGATGGTGCCACCCTCATCGTCCTCCAGTGCCACTTCCACTGAAGAAGAAAGAGGCAAAGTTACATTTAAGTGGTGAACATTCTGCTACATGATAATACTTAGTGACTGCTCAATACACATAGAATATGGTTTTCATCCTTAACTAACCCTAACCCTTTGGCGGCCTTTTTCTAAAACACTATACAGTATATCTACTTCTGTCCCCACAAAGCTGGGGTTCACTTTAGATGGTTTGACGAGCTGTACCGGAGCAGAACTGCTCTCCTTCCGCCCGATGGTGCTGGTCTTCCCCGGGGCCAGGTTTAGATCCGGGTCCGTTACTTCTCGTGGAGAGCTCGGTGGGATGCTTCACACGCAGGTGTCTCAGCATAGCAGTGGTGGAACCACAACCTTTTTTGAGCAAGTGACGAGCGCAGAGAAGACAACGGACAGACCGCGAGTCGTTGTTTTCGAAAAAACTCCAAACTACACTACTACGCGCCCGAACCATCGCGGTGGATACAGGTTGGCACTGCTGTGAATAAAGAGTCAAATGCCACGGTTCGGTACAGAACAAATAATTACTCTGCGGCTATCCGTACTATTAATGAAGTTTATTTGTTTTTGATGTGCTAGCCTAGCTGATACTACGCGCAGGCAGCATACGAAAATCTAACAGCCCTGCGTCATATCCGGGGTATCAACCGTCGTCTTCCCCGCGGGACAACACTGGAAGCGACGTGGCGACCGGAGTCTATAGAAAGTGAATGACTTTCAGCGACTTTCAGCGACTTTCAGCTACTAAAGGCGACAGAATAACCGCTGGCGACGCGAAGTGTTGCTTCCACGCGAACGACTGAAAAAAACTACCAATGAAAGCATGTCGCTACCGCTGCTGACCCGGTAGTAAATACGGAAGATGGTTACCTAGGCAGCCTCTACCGTCCACAAGCAACAGATTCATAGCGATTCGCGACAATTACAAGTAGACGTATCTTAAATGTTTACTAAACCCGACTCAAAAATTAGTTTATTTTTTTAATTTTATTTAATATATTTTCTTATTATCATTATGAGGATATCTAGGAGATGCAGTGGACTTTTAAAAATCTGATTATTTAATCCGGTCGTGGAGAATAAGAGAATGCTGAAAGAATGAAAATTAAATAACCGAGTTAATAAAAAACAAACAAACACTGAAACTAATTATTAAAAACTAAACTGCGTAGACAATAAAACGTAATGGAATCTAAATTTTACTGATAACATAAAGTTCAAAGGAAATAATACTATAAATATAAACTAGCTATCATGATAACTCTATGATGTAGCTGTTTACACGTTCACCTAACAAATAAAAGATCCCCGGTTTGATCCTGGGGGCAGACACATATCCCTTTGGAGGGCATACAATGTAAAAATTATCAAAATCAAAGCATGTGGAACTGCCCAATGTGGTGGCCTCTTGTGAGTAAGGAATTAGCTTTATATCTCTATGACTACACAATAGGTGTGCTCGAGTATACTTGTGAAAATGAGAGCTCTTTAAAGGTGTTTGACATTTGACTCGAGTTTTAAAGATGTAGCCATGGAACTCTTGTAATTTCATGAGTGAATAAAGTTGGGTAGAACACGGATTTGAGTAAAGTATGGCAAAAGACTCATGCCCTGCACTTGCTAGAATTAGTATAGATCAATGGAATGGTTTTCTCTTACTGCAACAGTTTGATAATAATAAAAGATAAACTGGCATCTCTTAAATTGATTGTCTTTGGCATATTCTCACACTCCACATGTTCTCAAACAACCTGGAGTGGCTGATGCTGTGCCATCAGATTACAGCAAAATAATTCTAATGTAACCCTCACTTTATATGTTTTAGAGGAGCATCAAGGTTGATGGAGTTTTTTTTTTTCTTTTTCTATGCTTAGCTTGCCTTGCTTCTTCACAGTTAACACAATGAACAAACTCAGATTAGACAACAGGTGTTAAACAAAGGCAGCCGTTTTTATTAAAGGAAATATCCGTCAAGCAGATGAGCATTACAGTTTCCCTACTTTAAAGCAACACATTAGTGCTTTAAAAAAATAAAAAATAAAAAACAGGTTTAAAAAGAAGTTCACAGGCTGAAAGCAAAAAATGGCAAACTTTCTCCACTTGAGCTTACAAATAAATACAAAAAGTGTTCTTCAGCGAGCTGGCTGGACACTACACGCATCACGCTGTTTATTAAATATGTGGCATCATGTCATTCTCAGTGCAAAAACAACAAAACAACTGTAGATAAGAAGATGATGATCAATGCTGGAATGTATTTTAGCAGTGTCAGATTATGGAACATCCTGCAGGCAAACGTGACATGCTTTGTGTTTTATAAAGACACTTAATGTAAACTCAACTTCCTGTTTTTGTAAAGCACTGTTGGGACACTATGAAGTAAGAGTGTAACGGGCATCTGTTTATATCTGCAGATCCTGCGTGGTGCTGAAGAAGGGGACAGACACGCCAGACCAAAGCAGTACACACCCCCTGTCACTTCCTGCCACACCAGCGTTAGCAACAGTGAAGCCACGATTTGTTAGGATAGTCAGCAGAAGTAAGAAGCAGTGAGTGACTACAACACCTGTGAAGCTTGTCTGGCTCGGAGCACATTTACACTTTCACACAGATCAAATCCAGTGATTTCACTCAATAAAAACATCAGTACAGTTTCTGAACGACTGGTGACCCCACGTGTTTAAAAAAAAAAAAAAAAAAAATCTACAATTTACTTCAGTGCTTAACAAATGTAAACACACCTTAAACACAAACTTTAAAACCACTCAGGCTTTGAATCCAATACATCTCAGAGTTTACCACTAAACACTGAATGCTATGAAGAGCCGACTGCTACTATAATTTTCTGCTTTGCAGCCTGAAGGCTAGTAGAAGCTCTCTGGTTAAATGGATTATGATCAGTGTGAAGTGGAAATCAGGTGCCAAGAACATCTCCAAAACACTCCCTGAGACACAATCCAAATAATCCACTGACGTTTGATCTCAGCAGTCATTGTTTGCCCAAAACATCGCAGAAGAAAACCGAAACGAACAAACAAACAGAGCATGTGAGAATGACTCCCCCTAAGCATCCTAGCTTTCATTTTCAATGTGTTGTCATCTTATAATCTATTTAATAAATCCATGGACAGTATAAAAGATGGACATAGCTACTGTGATGCTCATAACAGCTTGCCAATCACAAGCTGCTAGCTAACCAGCATACCCTCAAAAATCTTTTTATCTGACACAAAGAATGACCAAAATTTAGAAAACAGACGTAATCGTTTATTTAGTGTGACCCAAAATGAGTGACTCAACAGGAGAGTGTTTACACAGGTCAAATTCAATGGTCATTCCCCCCACAGTATTGCAGGTTTTGCCTTTAAAAATAATTCCGTTTATGGCACTTCCAGGCTGGCTTCAATTTTTAGACTTGAAAGCTTCGTTCATCTGTTATACTGTCTATGAAAATACACATCAAAATAAACTGGAAATACCAATTTAACATGGTGATCGTATTCCATAAGGTCTACATCCTTATGGAATACTATCAGTCCAAAATGGAAAAACAGGTGCTAAGCGTATGCACTAAAAACTCCCTGAGGCATAATTCAGTTATGTAACAGGACATGGCTGAGTCATCCATCCTAGAGTAGAGCTTTTATTTTGAATTTTTATAATGTACTTTGGTAAAACTGTGACTGCTGCTCCGTCTGTGCAGCAGGCAACCGTACACTTTCTACATCCTCTTTTCCAGCTTACAGGAGTAATAGTTCAGTATACATTTACAGTGGGGAATTCAGGGGCATTGCTACAGGCTGTTACTTTATTCTCTACATAGCTTATTTTACTCAATCCCTGGTATCATGTAAGTCATGGCCATTTTGTAACAAACACATTATTAAACCTCTTTTTTTTCAAATGTCTAAAATATACTTATTACAAGGTGAAAAATAAAATAGAAAGTAAACTGAACACAGCTCCATTATACTTACTCTAATTTGAGTTCTATCAGAATCACAACGGGTCATTTGTTAGTCAAATCACCCGGCTGCTGTGATGGTCACAGTCATGGCTGAGGTAAACACTCCCTCTTTTACAGAAAGGTGCTGTTAGTGTACATTAACACCAATATATTTCCATTCAAACATATTAAAGTCTAAATTTTATCTACAGTAGAGAATCACATGGTGTTCCAGTTTCCCTATAGTAATACACAGCATCATTAATCACCTGAAAAATGGTGCTTGAACAAATCTTTCTGTAGCTACAGGCGTCAGCTGGTGAACTGCAACCAATATGCTGAAACTTACAGACCTGGATTTGCAAAGTGGGGGAAAGGATCCTTGACCCAGAGCTGAAGGCTCAACAAAATAACTATCCTAAAACTCTGCTGTACCATCAAAAAAGGGTGGATATACAAGCTGAGACTATTAATTCAGATAAAATAGGCATACTGTACCCATTAATCCCTCTCACGTTATCAGCAGGCCAAAACAAACTCAGATATGACTGAGACACTCTTTTCAATCTGCCCTGAAACCACTGACTTCTTGCAGGGTTCAATGAACTGTTCCTGCTGGTGCATGGTTTATTAGCCAGCGAGCCAGCCGGTGGTCATGGAAATATTAGACTCAGCTCAAACTCTCTGGTGATACCCAAACTTTAAAAGAAAAAACAACAACAACAAAAAATTAAAAACAATAACCAGAAAAAAAGGGATGTTCAGTGGTAATGCACTTATTCAGACTTCATAATTGTTTTCTTTCTATATTAATAAATCTAAAGAAACTGCTCATAAGTTGAAAACAAAAAAACAAAACAAAAAAAACCAAACACCCAACAACCTAAAACCATTTTTTAAAATTAAAATCTACTATTGGCTAACAACTAATATAGGTCTAGATCCTTTTTTAGCCGAAAATCTGAAATCATGACTCCACAACTTCAAGCTAAGAATGATAATCAAGGCAGCGTAAGGTGACTGTCGGTGGGACACAGGGAGCTTTTAACACGTTTAAATGAGCTTTACAGCTATGATAATGTTTTCTGTTGAGAATCAGAATAATAGAGCTGTGTTTTACAAATTTAGTGTACAAACAAATCACATCTGTGAGGGTTCAAGCATTCACAACACAGTCAAATAAAAAAAAAAAAGGTCAAATTGTGACAAGTGTGTTAAAAAAAAACAAACAAGCCAAGTAGTCATGTGTCACATAAAAGGTCGAAGCAGCGGACTTGAAACATTCAGAGCTCCGTTTTGTCAGACATGCAGTAGTCGCACTGGGTGAATTAACAGATCTAGTTTTTGTTTCTCTTGAGAGCCTCACACAGGTTCTGGTTTGGATCAGGTTCTTGACTCATGATCTCAACACACTCCCATTCTCCGCTGCTGCTAGACCGCTTCACCGCCTCCACCACCGTCTGCACGTACAGACCGTCCTCAAACGTTGGTGCAGTGGCAACTGGTCCCCGTGCCCAACACCGGCGCTCCTCCTTAGCCTGAAAAGACTGCCTCAGCGCCTTCACCATGGAGCTCAGGCCCTGCAGGAGAGGCAGGGGCATTTCTTTTACCTCTGGTCCCACCCAGCCGTTGTCGCCTACCAACAGCTCCTCGCTTTTACTCCCGTTGCGTTGCCCATACAGTTCTGTCCCTCTGGCAATTAATCTCCCAGTGGATCCAACTACCATAACCTCATGTACAAACGACCCCGGCATATTGAAGTTTAGGGTCACAGTGCAGCACACGCTACTGGACCCTGTCCCACCCATCAACATTTGGAAGAAACAGAAATCGTCGCTGGTGACGCGGCGTATCCCTCGGATCAAACCGTTTTGCTGCACGAAGGTCCGCAGTAAACCATGCACGCGGTGTGCTCGTGTGCCAGACAGGTAACTCAAAAGGTCGATGATGGCGGAGCCAACAGTGTGAAGACCGCCTCCTCCCATCAGCTCCTCGCAGGTCCAGCCGTACGACTGGTCCAGCAGGCTCGGACCATAGACTCTGACATCACACACCTGCAATTCGCCCACATATCCCTCCACCAGCAGTTGGCGCATTGCAACAAAAGCTGGCAGGAAGCGCAGGGTGTTACCCATAATGCTGAGCAGCTGTGGGTAGTATCTGGCTGCAGTGACCATCTTGAATGAATCCACAGCAGTTGCAGCTTTCTCACACACGACATTCTTACCGATACCTGAAGACAGACGGAGATTGAGCAGTTATTAACTTACTGCACTGATCTTTGGCGTAGAGCCAATGAGAACAGATTTCACACAATTTTTTTTTTTTTTTTTTTTTTTACATAAGCTCAGATCTGCAGCAGTTTCAGTTCGGTGCATCTATCAGAGTGTGCATTTGATTGCTTTACTGTTCATTTACTCATTAGGTATGAATAAACCAAAATAATGTGATGGCATCAGTGAGTGCAGCGTTTGTTATACATTTTAAATCAGACCTCACTAGCCGTTGGAATTGGTCCCATGGATTAGTCCCTCAGCAGGGAAACACTCAGGAAGTTGCAACTAAAACAGGAAACTGTGGTCAACGCTTAGGAATTCCATCAGATACAGAAAGCCCTGTATCAAGTCCCCTTTGATTGGGAAACCTTGTTGATTATATTTGCTTCAGTCTACTGCTGACAGAATTTTTCTTTTTTTTTTTTTAAATTTGTAGCTACAATTGCTGTTGATCAAGGCTTTGATCACCATTAATCACACGTCAATAACAAACCCTGAAGAATACGTTACAGAGGAAATGCGTTTGAGATCTGACCTGCCACACCCAGCTGCTTCAGGGCACGAGCTGTTTGCATACACAGCTCTGAACTTTTCCACACCTCACCTGATGAAGCTGTATGTGACACAGCAAATGTTTAACATACAGGGAGTGCAGAATTATTAGGCAAGTTGTATTTTTG